GAAATAAATTTAAAAAAATTTAAAGATTGGAAAGGAAAAAAAAAAACAAAGAAATTTACTTGTTTTAAAAAAATCCAAATGCTGGCATTGTCCAGAAAAATTTAACAGGTTTATTTATAATTGTTATAAAGTTGAACCACTGAAACTTGTTCACTGAAACATTTGACTTGTATTAATGCTTCACATTCCTGTATTTATATTAAAAATTCACACACAAATGAAAATGGAAAAACTGCCAATTTTTCCACTCTCAATCATATACTTAGGTACCTTTTGACCCCATTGGGCAGGGGGGAATCTAACGTTCAGAACTACCAATAACAGAAAGAAGAGAATTTTTTTTTTTTTTGAGAATGAAATGTTTTCCCATCATAATGGATTCTTAAGCACATTCTCCACGTATGTGGCGTGCTAACTGGATGTCTTTTGGCATAATTGTTGCACGTTTGGCATGGATAGGACACAGATTGGTGCCTTTAAAAAGGCCAACCAGATAGGCCTCACTTACTTCCTGCAAAGCACCAATAGCTGCGCTCTGGAAGCACAGATCTGTTTTGAACTCCTGAGCAATTTCTCGCACCAGACGCTCCAAAGGAAGTTTGCCAATCAGAAGTTCAGTCGACTTCTGATAGCGTCTAATTTCACGGAGTGCCACTGTACCAGGCCTGTAGCGATGAGGTTTCTGCACCCCTCCAGTAGAGGGCGCACTCTTGTGAGCGGCTTCTGGGGCGAGTTGCTTCCTGGGTGCTTCACCGACAGTCTGCTGTGTGGGAGCCACGGTACAAAGACCTCCTTACTTACCCGCCTCCTCCCTGGGCCGGAGCTCGGTGAGCGAGGCGGCGCCGGCATCTGAGAGCGATGGCGGCGCGGGGGCGGCTGCGGACACCCTAGGATCATTTTAATACAAAGATAAACTTTTTTTTTTAAAGCCACAATACCACATAAGTAAGAACACATAAGTAAGAATGTTGTAACACCAATAGAACATTTGATTTTTACGTCTTGGTAGATATTGAATGTACTTGCAGATTAGTAAAAGTAAACGAAAAGAATGGTAAGAAAAAATATGTGAATAAAAAATAAAACAATGAGGTTTTTAAATTTATCAAAATTTACATCAGTGTACTTATTTTTAAAAAAAGATATCGAATCAAGAGTTGCCATTTTTTACAAGATGACTATCCTGATATATTTATAAACGATGAAGATAAACTTATACCAAACAACAAAAGCATTTTTCCTTTGAAAAGTTTGGTTTTCTATTGAATTCCATCTGAACGCCAAAGTTATATTAGAGTCTCGATACACTAGGAGATAAGCGATTACGTCAACTGGGAAACGTTCACTAATCTGATGTGCTTTTAGAATACTAAAAATCTTAATCATGGGTTTGGTGATGACAATCTGTAGTACCAGTTCTACAAGCAAATAAAAATAGAAAAGGTAGGAATGGCATTGAAAAAAATGTTCCTTGGCTTGAAGATATGCTGATACATTTACAACAAATTCTGAATCATTATTTGTAGGAAACAGTTTATGGGAAACTCTTTTTAAAAGCAGTTACTTGGCTTCAATGAAAGTTCTGTTTCTCTCTATGGTTTGAAAACACTGAAAAGGAAAATGCAGCTAATTTTGTGATGAAGTATATTTTAGAATATATTACATTTATCTCAAATTATCTGTATGCTTATCTCTTCATCCCTGCCCCTACCTACCCCTCTGTCTTTCTCTGTTTCACAGAAAAAAACTATGACATCAACATCCAAAGGAATTCTCCGCCCATTTTTAATCGTCTGCATTATCCTGGGCTGCTTCATGGCATGTCTGCTCATTTACATCAAGCCCACCAACAGCTGGATCTTCAGTCCAATGGAGTCAGCCAGCTCTGTGCTGAAAATGAAAAATTTCTTCTCCACCAAAACTGATTATTTTAATGAAACTACTATTCTGGTGTGGGTGTGGCCATTTGGGCAGACTTTTGACCTTACATCCTGCCAAGCAATGTTCAATATCCAAGGATGCCATCTCACAACAGACCGTTCACTGTACAACAAGTCTCATGCAGTTTTGATCCATCACCGAGACATCAGTTGGGATCTGACTAATTTACCTCAGCAGGCTAGGCCACCCTTCCAGAAATGGATTTGGATGAATTTGGAATCGCCAACTCACACGCCTCAAAAGAGTGGTATTGAGCACTTGTTCAACCTGACTCTGACTTACCGCCGTGACTCAGATATCCAAGTGCCTTATGGCTTCTTGACAGTGAGCACCAACCCTTTCGTGTTTGAAGTGCCAAGCAAAGAGAAGTTGGTGTGCTGGGTTGTAAGTAACTGGAACCCTGAGCATGCCAGGGTCAAGTATTACAATGAGCTAAGCAAAAGCATTGAAATCCATACTTATGGGCAAGCATTTGGAGAATATGTCAATGATAAAAATTTGATTCCTACCATATCCACTTGTAAATTTTATCTTTCCTTTGAAAACTCAATCCACAAAGATTACATCACAGAAAAGCTTTACAATGCTTTTCTGGCTGGCTCTGTACCTGTTGTTCTGGGGCCATCTAGGGAAAACTATGAGAATTATATTCCAGCAGATTCATTCATTCATGTGGAAGATTATAACTCTCCCAGTGAGCTAGCGAAGTATCTGAAGGAAGTCGACAAAAACAATAAGCTATACCTTAGTTACTTTAACTGGAGGAAGGATTTCACTGTAAATCTTCCACGATTTTGGGAATCACATGCCTGCTTGGCTTGTGACCATGTGAAAAGGCATCAAGAATATAAGTCTGTTGGTAATTTAGAGAAATGGTTTTGGAATTAAAGTTTTTCATCATTTGCACACTTGATAAAATATTTTGATGAGATATCTTCCAAGTTTTGAGGATAAGAAAAGAAATATAATAATACTGTACCTTTGGGTCACAATTTATTTTTATCACCTTCTCTTGGGTAACATGTATATTTTGCTGGTGATTTTTAAAAGCTCAGCATTAGCAATCATTCCATTTGATTTTAAATTATCCTGTATATACCTAGTTATGTACACTGAAAAATAATTTATTCTTCACTATCATTTGTAAACATTGTTTATTCACAGTTTTGTAGTTGTCTATAATGTAAGTTTGTGACTTGATTATTGTTTCCACACTATTTCAGAGACAAAGATGCTTATCTTAAAATATAAAAGATTTTCACTATTATAATCTTTAGTTCCAAGTTTGCATACTGCAACAAAGAAAGAACATATTGCAATTGAGTTCTAACCTCTCTGACTTCAAAGTTGAACAGAGTGTGTAACTGTCTCTATTCGATCTATTTTTTTACCTGTTTACCACATTAGTGAAGGCAGATTTATTCATGTGGTGAATAAGAAGATGTGAAGCAGAATTGTTCTGTTAAAGAAGCTATTAGACTTTCCATTTATTTTCA